TGGAATACCTCAAGAATTCATTCTCTCTCCTTACGAAAGAGAAGTTTTTGAAGTAATCTGCCCTGTTTAATATGCTTGAAATTACATAGAAAGCTTTGCTAAACAGAATAAAAATAACTGTGTTCTATTTGTATACATATTTTTATCAAAATAGATATTCTAGAAATTTCAACTTGCCCTAGGGAAGAACTTGCAAAGATTCAGAATCAAGTTCAAATAGGAAGCTCTCAGGTGTAGCAGGTGTCCTGTCAAAGACACTGGATAAGCCAAGAGTGATAGTTCCTTGTGGGACATTAAGCAGTACTCTCTGTATTTGTAACATACACATTGGGAATGTATGAGTTGTTTCCAACGCTCAATGCACACTTCTGATAAGTCATGTACAGCATTTCAAAATTTTTCATACTGTTTGGTTTTTATATATACTAAGATTGTGTGTTAAATGTAAAAATGTGGGCTTGAGCCCTGGCTGGGGTGACTCAGTGGACTGAGTGCCAGTCTGTGGACCGAAAGGTTTCCAGTTCAATTCCCGGTCAGGGCACATGCCTGGGTTGTGGGCCAGATCCCCAGTTGGGGACATGCAAGAGGCAACCAAACAATGTGTCTCTCACACATTGATGTTTCTCTCCATTTCTTTCCTCCTCCCCCCCTAAAAAATTAAATAATAAAATATTTTTAATGTAAAAATATGGGCTTTATATTATTCTTTTATGTCACTTCTAGTAATTATTATATACCAAGAAATTGTTTTCTTGGAATGTTATATCTTGCAGAAAAGCAAAATTCTTTATCAATTACATTGTAATCAAACCTATAACCGTGTCATTTTAAATTTGGTTATTTACTCTAATGCATTTGCAAATGTATCTTTGGATAGGTTCATGGAGAGGACTCTGACTTACTCTGTCTACATTACAGGTATCCAAGTAGGTCATATCGTTGAAGTAAATGAAGATTCATAGAACCCTAAGGAATAACTGGATTCATGGAAATATTGGCAAATAATCAAGACAAACAAAATTGGTTATATGGAACTAAATGAACTAAAGATAATCGTTATTCTTATGACTTTGTTCAAAATATTTCTAATTTTAAGCCTTTTTGTTTTCCAGATATAAGGAAACAGTTTATAAATTATACCCTCATAAGCAATGTTGAAATATTTATATTTTTCTCCCTACTTAATCCCTCCAGAATTTGGCAACTCTTAAGAATGAGTATTATTTTCATGGCAATATGTTTATTTGCATAAACCCAGTGAGAATCTATTCTCATTATAATAGCACCAGTTCCCAAATGTGATTTTATTAACCAAGTCTTTGTCTAAAATGTCATGGTCTAGAGTCATGTCCAGACTCTAGGCATCACCAGAAAGCCTTAAAGGATTAAGATTAACTTTTTTTTTTTAAGATTTTATTTATTTTTAGACAGAAGGGAAGGGAGGGAGAAAGAGAGGGAGAGAAACATCAATTTGTGGTTGCCTCTCATGTGCCCCCTCCTGGGGACCTGGCCTGCAACTCAGGCCTGTGCCCTGACTGGGAATCAAACCAGTGACTCTTTGGTTCGCAGTCCAGCGCTCAGTCCACTGAGCCACACCAGCCAGGGCAAGATTAACTTTAAAAGCCAATAAAAGCCCCTTGGAGAAGTGACCTGGTTCCTTGCTTTGTCACATGGTTCATGGCAATCTTCTCAGGTAAGGAACAAAGGCTGCTTTCCTGAAAGATGACAAGGAAGGAATTTAAAGATATTTCGGGGACCTCAAGAACTTGAGGAATTCACCCAAACCTACAGGTATTGCAGGCAAAACCATATGGCAACTGTGTGGCTTGGTTTCTGTTCCCTGAAGGGCTGACTAAAGGTCCATCTAAGGGTTCTTTGTGAAAAGTCCAGCAACGCAGACTTGAAAGAGGCTGTGTGATCAATTACTATTCTTGTTGTGTTCAGGCAAATAATCAGGCCAAATTGAAACTGGACTTAATGCGGTCTCTTTGATAAAATGAGGGTAATTTTAGGGAGTGTGGAAGAAAAGCAGCCACATTTTAATCTGACAAGCTCACAGGAGGTCTGCAACGCAACCTTACAAACTAAGAGACCTAAAGTAACCACAAAGGATGGTCTAAAATTAAAACTTATTAACCAAAAGCAGTTCATGGCAGGTAGTCATGTCCTAGATCAATACTTTCCCCTAATAAAGGTCCATCTTTACCTTAACTAAGCCTGTCTATTATCTCTTTGCATCTATGATAATGTACCTTTACAATGCCAAGGTAACTTCCCTTGGACACAAGCTGAGACCCCAAATCCCTTTGTTACTACCATGTTAATTGTTGACTGTTAACTATTCCTGAGCCACTTCTGTGAAAGTAGTATGTGTCTATCGTTTTGCCTTTTATGCAATCCCAGAGGTCCCCCCCCCACCACCCACCTCCCACCTTTGCTTTCTCCTGCCTCCCTCATCTGTCACCAGTGGACTTCATGTAACCTCCTTATGGCTCCTCCTTTGATTCTAATGTATAAAATAAGGTGCTAAACTGACATTCTCCAGAGCATTTCTCAATCCATTGAGATACTGCTTCCTGGCAATTTTCACCAGTTTGGCTCAAATAAACTCACCAAAAATTCTCTACAGCTTTGAATGTTTCTTACATTGACAGGAGAGAAATTGTGTTTCAATGGAAATCACAATGTCCAATCGTCACCCACAACATGAATTGAATCCTAATTTTTCTAGCTTTCTCCCAAGCTAATGTTTCATTTTTTCTTTCATCCTTTGACTTGGAATTACTGAGAGCTACTCATGCAGTGTCAGCCATACAGAATTTACCTGCTACTCTGCCTCTCTCCCTTTTTGGGATTTTAAAGCCAATGTCTGGTCCTGGTTTTCCTGGCAAACCTCCTTCCTAGGGCCTACAGCAGCCTTTTTCTTTATTCTTATTTTTAGACCATGTCTCCTCAAATATCTCACAGCCTTCATTCAGCTGAGTGTTCAGGCTCTGGGAGATTCCCTCCACAGCCGGCCTCTGGCCACAGCGCTCATTTTTCTGGCTGTCCAATTGCACCCTCTTCCCCTTAACGACCCATACACACCCAGACCCTCAGGGAATGACAGCTTCATACCCCTAAACTGCCTGAAGTAGTTACAGAAGTAGAGATCTTCATCTGTACTCTCCAGAATCAGAATTAAGAATAAATCCATTTTAAAACTAGAGTGGGTAATGACAGGACACAGCCAGTGCCATTTGCTATCACGGTGCCGCAGGCTGAGCAGGCCTATGACCTTGTTAAACATGACTGCCGTTTTACTCTTCTGAGCTTATGTCCCCAGGACTGGAAATTACTGGAAAACAAGAACAGAACTTGATGAACTGCCCCCTCACAGGCAAAAGGTAACATTGGAGTAAAACTGCAGCTGATATAAAACCACACAAAACCTCTGGTATTGCAATGCCCCAACAGCCCAGGGGCCACACAACAGCAACCTCCCCCACCCTTTCATTATCCAATTATAATCCAATAAAAGCTCAAAGTTCCCCACCCCCCAGTGCTGGTGCACATCTCTGCACTTAGCCCTTTTCCTCTCTTGGAAAAGTAAAATAAAAGCTTTACTCTGTGCTTTATTTTCTTTGTGAATTCTTTTACAGCCAACCACCCTAACACCCCTTACATTTTCCCCTTTGATTTTGATGTATAAAATAAATAGTCAAATTGCCACTTTGCAGAGCATTTTCTCAATCTGTTGAGATTTTGCTTCCAGGCAATTGTTGTCAGTTTGGCTCAAATAAACTCACAAAAATTCTTATAGGTCTGGACATTTCTTATGTTGACAATCTGCTTTGTTTTGCACTAGAAGTAAAATGCAAAGTCTTTCCCAGGGCCCTGCAAGATGTCCCTGCTGCCCTCACTGACCTCGTCTCCTACATTCAATCTTTGATGCAAGAGATATTTATCGAGCACCCCCTGTGTGCCAGGCCCTGCTCTAGACGCTGGGCTTGCAGCTTTGAACCAAACAGCGTGGACACTGTCACGTCTTCTTCAACAGGCCCATCCCCCTTGGCAGGCCTTTGCACTCCCTGAAGTTATCTGAACTTACTACTTTATCTGCATGTGGGTAAGAGTTCAGGGAGGGAGCAGGGCCCACCTCTCTGTTACTCACAGATACATCACCAGGTCTAGAACAAAATCTTGTTTGTAGTTAGACCTCAATAACAATTAGTTGAAAAAATGTTAACTAACATTTATTTAACACTTGTTCTATATGCACCTGGCCTGGTTTTAAATCGTGTACTCGCATGTATCTCTACAATCCTGAAATCTATCCCTATTTTACAAGAGTTAATAGAGGCATAGGGAAGCTAGGCTGTGAAGTCAGGTAGCCTGGCTTCAGACATGATGTTCCTAACCAATATACATACTGCTACATAAGTGAATAATTCAACCAATCATTCAGACTGCACTGAGTTTAAATTCCGGCTCTATCGCTTGTTAGCTATGTGGCCTAGGACCGATTCACCTTTCTGAACCTCAGATTCTTCATTATTAAAGGTCCATTTCTCCTCCTAGTTCGTGGTGATGTCAGATGCCGGAGGAAATTGGCTCCAAGACACCACCCAGACACGCACAGGTAAACGTGCACCAGGATTGCAAAGATGGGGGACGTGGGAGCTCGGGAGGGCCGCGCGGGTCACCGCCGAGCTCGGGGTGTGGCCTCCGGGAGGCTGCCCAAGTCTCCGGCTTCCAGGTTCCTTCAGTTTGCCCACGCCCTACGTACGGCCCAGGGAGCTGTCTCCGCCCCCCAGAACCTGGGTGACTGGAGAGAAAACCATTGGAGCCTGTGTCCCAAACACCAGGCGGCGGTGAGGGTCTGGAAGAAAGAAATCGGGCTACGGGGAAAGAATCCTTCCTGTAGGCAGGGCGAGGGGCTGGCTGCCCTGCCTCCCTCCACCTGATTTCCTTGGGAAGGGAGCTGTTCCGACTGTCCCAGCCTAGTGGAGCGTCTGGAGCAGGGGAAGGACCAACCAACCTGCCGCGATGGAAGCGACTGGCACCTGGGCGCTGCTGCTGCTGCTGCTGCTGCTGGTGCTGACGCTGGCGCTGCCCCGGACCCGGACCCGAAGCCTCCTGCCCCCCGGGCCCGCACCGCTGCCGCTGCTGGGGAACCTCCTGCAGCTCTGGCCCGGGAAGCTGTACTCGGGGCTCCTGCGGGTAAGGAGCGGCGGGAACGCCCTTGCTAGGGGCGGGGGTCCAGGTCCAGGAGAGAGGAAGGGGACTCTGGGGAGAGAAACGGGAGTGCCCGGCAGAGAGGTCCTCGGGGGTCCCAGGGAGGAGGCAAGCTCGGGTTCAGGGCAAAGGGGCTACGGGTATCCTGGAGTGGGGCGGGAGCAGGGTCTAGGACTGGGTTGGCGGCGGGGGGAGGCCCGGGGAGGGAGAGGACGCGGGGCGGGGGGAAGGCAGAGCAGAGACCTCTCCGCACGGAATTCTGGAGTAGGGTGAGAGCAGGGAAGCAGGGTCCAGTGGCAAGGGTCCCAGGGCAGAGGATCTGGGAAGGTGGCGAGGGCTGGAGAGGAAAGCTCAGAGAGGTGGGAGTCGTCAAGCAGGGGAGAAGCTGGAGATGTGGTGGTGATGGGCTTGTCCCGAAGGAGAGGTAGTTGGAGAGATACAGGTGACCTCCCCAGAGGACGCCAGAGAAGAAAAGGGAGGTGTCCCGGGGGAGAGGGGGAGTGGAGGCAGAGGCTAGAGGGTTCCAGAAATCTGTCTGCAGAGAATCTTGGGGTGTGTGGCAAGGGGAAGGGGGCGTAGGTGGAGCTGGGCCCTCCTGCAACAGAGAAGGGGAAGCAGCCCCAACTTTTGTGGGATGAGGAAGTGGGAAGAGACCAGAAGTTCCCCACTGGGCAAGAGCCTGGGGGATTTCCAGGACATGGCAAGGGGGTGAGGGTCTTGGGGAGGGATGTGCTCCAGAATTTGAGGGTTTAGCGGTGATTGAAAAGGGCGGCTAGTTTGGGGGTGGACAGAGTTGAGGAATGATGGCAGACCAACGGTGTGGCTGCCGGTGTATGTTGCCGTGTGTCAGAACTGGGAGGGTAGAGATGGGCTCGGGGTTGTCCCAAAGTCAGAAGTTAGGGTTGTGCAGGAGGTAAGAAGATGGGGATCAGAGTGTTGGGGAGGGAGTTTGGGGACCTGGGGGTGGTTCCTAAGAGGTGGCTCATCCAGTGATAAGGGCCATGATGGAGACATCTAGATTAGAAGAGGCCCTGACCCCTTCCCCTCCCTGCCCCCAGCTGAGTGAGAAGTATGGGCCAGTGTTCACCGTGCACCTGGGACCCAGGCGGCGTGTGGTGGTCCTGGTTGGGCACCAGGCTGTGCAGGAGGCCCTGGGAGGTCAGGCTGAGGAGTTCGGTGGGCGAGGGATGTTGGCAACGCTGGACCAGACCTTTGACGGCCACGGTGAGTCATGAGTGGAGCCGGAGGCTGCCACGCCTTCACTCAGAGCCTGCTTCCACTACTGGTGGGTGACCTTCATGCTGGCTTCATGCCTCTGTTTCCTCATCCAAAAAATGGGATGATAATAGTGCCTGTACATTGGGTTGTAGTGAAGATTGAATGAGGACTGGGCCTCGCACAAGGCAAGTGCTTAGTATTCACCAGGGTGCAGTAATGTTAGCGTGGGTCCAGCAGAAACGCCTAGGGCTGGAAGGAAGGGGTGAGCTTTCAAGACACTGAGCATTAACTGATGTGCAAACACAAAATGTAGAAACTATCCTTTGTGCTAAGACTGAAAGCCAGAGTCCCACACAGCAGTGACTAAACAGCCCCATCCGGCTCCCCCACAGTGCTCTGGCCAGTGAGGAGACAGACCTGTCACTAAACAGTGACAGTACAGAAAGGTCAGGAATGAGAGACCCGGGGCGGTCACTGGCAGAGGGCTCAGGCCGGGGTGGGGGAAGTGCTGGGACTCCAGAAATAGGCGGAGATTCCTGATCCAACTTGTTTGCTGGGAGTCCAGAAAGTCTTCCTGAAAGGCAAGGTGTCTGAGCTGAGATTCACAAGATGAGTGGGAAGGGTGTTCCAGGCAGAGACAACAAGCACAAACCATGGATGTAAGAAGAGGCATTCATTCAACTGACAAGTTTTCATTAGACCTGGCCCTGCACTGGGTACTGGAGGCACAGAGGTGACTGAGACAAACCTGTCTTACTGTGAGAGAGGTGCGCTTGCAATAAGGCAATGTGGGGAGAGAACAGAAGCCTAAAATGAAAGGTACAGCCTTGAGAGCAGGACACAGAACCTGTCAGGTTGAGGGAGAATAGCAGCAATCTAGGAGGGCTTCTCAGAGGAGATGACATTTGAGTTGAGACATGAAGGATGAATGGAATTAGTTCAGGGAGGATGGAGAGGTGGGTAATCCAGGCAGAGGGAACAGCAGGGGAACAGATCTATAGGTGGGGGATCCTGACATATTTGAAGGAGTCAGAGAAGTCAGTGGGATGGTAGTGGGATGGCTAATAAAGCTGAAGAAGTTGGCAGAGCCTAGTCATGCAGGACCTGAGTCACACCGGAGTGTTTGGGCTGTGAGTTTTTGGGGGGAGCAGCAGATTTTAAGCAGGGAAAGGGTACAGAGTTAGAAGGATCCCCTGGGTTTCTGTGTGGGAGCCCAGGAAGGGGACTGGGTTGGATCAGAGCTGGGGCCTTGGGGTTAGAAATGGGGGTGGTTGCAAGAGGAATCCAGGTCTTGGAACAGGGGGCAGAGGATAGTGGGCTGAGAATAGGGAGGAGGAGAGGTGCTGAGGCCAGCTGGGGACACAGTAGAGGGTAGGTGGGGAGGGGACATTCAGTGGGAGGCGTCAGGGAAACATTCCACAGGCAGGGATACTGAACTCAGAGCAGGGCAGGGTCTCTCCAAAGCAAGTCTCAGATAAAAGAGGAGAGCGGCGCAGCTCCATCCTCTTCCCTCCCTGTTCAACCTCCAAACAACATGGGGCAAGAGATCCAAATAGTACTGCATAAATGGGATGGATGGATGGATGGATGATGGGTGGATGGGTGGATGGATGGACGCGGCCTAGCAGTACTTTCATAAACATTGGGGCAGGTGGGTGGATGCTTAGCTAGGACCAAATAGTTCTCCATAAATGTTGAGATGGATGGAAGGACGGGGGAAAAAAGGGAAGAAGGATTAAAGTATGAGTGGGTAAAAAAGAAGACTAAAAAGATGGATGGGTGGGAGGGAGGAAAGGAAGGAATATTCCCTTAGAAGGAGCCTGGACAACCCCAGTTACCAAGACCATCACTCTCTGACCCAAGAGTAGGTGTTTATTAAACATCTACTGTGTCCTCATCCCTGCACCAGGCAGATGTGGACTCAGGACAGGGCCTGAAGAGGCCCCTCAGGGCACCTCACCAGGACGAAGGGGGTCATCCTAAGGAGTGGGGAGAGGAGCCAGTTTCTCCTTGAGCATAGCCTTCTGTGCAGGGGTTTTCTTCTCCAATGGGGAGCGGTGGAAGCAGCTGAGGAAATTCACCACACTTGCTCTGCGGGACCTGGGCATGGGGAAGCGACAAGGCGAGGAGCTAATCCAGGCGGAAGCCCGATGTCTGGTGGAGGTGTTCCAGGGAACAGAAGGTCAGCAGGGCATGGTCCACCCAGGGTCCCTGGGGTCTCTGTGAGTGTAGACCCTCCCACGATGCCTGGGCTGGGTGCTCTATTCACCCCCACCTCTTGTTCCTCCTTCCCCTCTGTCTTTGTTCTGCTGTCTCCCTGAGGGTCTCTATGTCTTTGGTATTGTCACATCACTTTCCACTTCTTTTTTCTCTTTCCAGTTCTGCTTCTCCCTCCTGTAAGTTTGTCTCTGTCTCTTTCCTTATCTGTCTGTGTCCCTATCTGTCTCTTTCTCTCTTTCCTTGTCTGTTTCTCTGTTTCTATTGTCCGTCTCTCTCTCCAAGCCTGTCTCTTTGTGGTTGTATCGCCCCCCCCCCCCCCCCCCCGGTGGAGTCGGTCTTCTTTGATTTTGTCACACTTCTTGCCCCATCCTCACCAGGCCAGCCATTTGACCCCTCCCTACTGCTGGCCCAGGCCACCTCCAATGTCATTTGCTCCCTCACCGTGGGCCTTCGTTTCCCCTATGAGGATGAGGAGTTCAAGGCTGTGGTCCAGGCAGCTGGTGGCATCTTGCTGGGGGTCAGCTCTCCATGGGGCCAGGTAAGCAGGTGCAACCCCTCTCCAGCCACCTTACCCAAAGGCTCCTGCCAACTTGTTCCAGGTAACCCCCACGTCACCCCATCCACCTGCCCCTTCGTCCTGGTGCAGGGCCAGGCCCCCATGGGAACAGCTGCCCTTCCCCCCACAGGCCTACGAGATGTTCTCCTGGCTCCTGCAGCCCCTTCCAGGCCCCCACACCCAGCTCCTCCGCCATGCAGGCACCTTGGCCGCCTTCACCATTGATCAGGTGGAGCAGCACCGGGGGAGTCTGGACACCTCAGGCCCTGCACGCGATGTTGTGGATGCCTTTCTACTGAAGATGGCGAAGGTAAGGGGAGGTTACGGGGGAGGGGGCTCCTGAATAGGGTCAGTGGCCTGACTGCCTGCCCCCCCAGATGTGGCTGGGAATCTGTCAGACCATTTCTCTTCCTCTCTCTTTCTCTTTCTCCATGTCTCCATGAATTCAACTCTCCATGTGTGTGCTTATCTCTTCTTCCTGGTGCATTGCTCACTCTGCCTCTCCCCACCCCTACCTCACCCGTGTCAGAGTCTCTTATATCTCTCCTCTCCGCCCTCCAACCTCAGCCCCATGACCAGTGACATGCCACTAGCAATGCCACCATTGCTTCACCCCACCCCCTGCTTCCTCTACCACACAGGACATTTCTGTGACTTACACTCATTTCCTTCTGAAACCTAGCAATAGCAAATTATACTGATAAAGTCTGTTTTACTAATTATATAAGAACAATTTATTACATGATAAAAGGAGAATTAAGGTGACTCCTATGGAAATAACTAATTTTGGATTGTATGAACTTTGGAATTGTGGGAGATATTCAGAGCCATATCGTGTGAATAAATGCAAGCACCTTGTTCATGGAGAGGATTTTTTCTTACCTTTGTGGCCCCACGTCTTTTCTCTTTTATTTTTTTAAATTAAAAAAAATAATTGCAGTAAAATACACACAACACAAAATTTACCATCTTAACCATTTTTGAGTGTACAGTTCAATAGTGTTAAGTGTGTTTACATTGTTGTGCAACCAATCTTTAGTGCTCTTTTCAACTTGCAAAGCTGAAATTCTATACTCTCAAAGCAACAAGTCCCCGTTTCCTCCTCCCCCAGCCCCTGGGAAGCACCGTTCTCCTTTCTGTCTTCATGGATTTGCCTACTCTAGGTCCTCATGTAACTGGAACCATACAGTATTTGTCCTTTTTAACTAGTTGATTTCATTTAGCATAATGCCCTCAAGAGTCATTTATGTTGTGGCAAGTGACAGATTTTCTTTCTTTTTAAGGCTGAATCATATTCCATTGTTTGGAGAGCCCGTATTTCATGTGTCCATTCGCCCATCGATAGGCACTTGGGTTGCTTCCACCTTTTAGTTATTGTGGCTAATGCCCCTATGAATATGAGTTTACAGATATCTCTTCGAGACCCTGCTTTCAATTCCTTTGGAGATAAGCCCAGAAATGGTATTGCTGGATCATATGGTAATTCTATTTTAATTTTTTGAGGATTTGCCGTAACTGTTTTCCAGAGCAGCCGCACGGTTTTACATTCTCATCAGTTGGGGCAGCGGTTCCAATTTCCCCACATCCTTACCAACACTTGTCATTTTCTCTTTGTTTGTTTGTTTGTGGTGGCTCTTCTCTTTCATTTTTAAAAATATTTCAGCCAGAGAGAATAATATCAAGGGCCCACTTTCTGACTTTCCCAAACATTTATTTAAACTCCTCGTCAAAGCTTGAACTTGCCGGGCTGCACCCCAAGCCAGGCTGGGCTGGGCCTCTGCGCCCTGCCTGTTGTGTTCTCTGACCCATCGGACTGCTTTCCTGCAACAGGAACAAGATCCAAACACAGAATTCACTGACAAGAACTTGCTGATGACTGTCATTTATCTGCTGTTTGCCGGGACAGGGACGGTCAGCGCCATGATCCGCTACACCCTCCTGCTCCTGCTAAAATACCCTCAGGTCCAAGGTACGGGCCTTTTCTACCAGCCAGGCCCCGGGAACAGAAGTAAGGGCTGGAGAGGAAGAATTTCAGGGGAATGGACAGTCTGAGCCAGAGCCTGGAGGTAACCATGAGCCTGGCATCTGGGGTGTCTGAGGAGCAAGAGGTGGGGGGACTGCTGGTTGCCGCATGAGGCATAGTGAGGAATGAGGCCTTCTCACCTCATCCTGAGCAATGGGGAGCCATGGAAGATGTTAGGCAGGGGAGGGTGGGGTCAGATTAGCATTTTAGAAAAATTCTTGGGGCTGCCATGAAGCGCTAAATTGTAAGGGGTGGCAGAGGATGCCCAAGGAGGGAAGGCCAGGTAGGGGCATGGGTGGGAGAGGACAGGGCCGGGTCAAGCTAGGAGGAGAAAACAAGCAGCCAAATAAGCAGGTGGTGGAGAATGATGCGGGGGAGGGGAGGCATCCAGGGACAGGCCCAGCGCTCCGGACAGGAGACTGGGGGACCATGGGGCTACGCTGAGATGGGGACAGAAGGAACGAGAGGTGGTTTCAGGGGAGACACTGAATCCAGTCTGGGACACTTTGAGTGTGATGGGCCAGCAGCCACCTGTGAGGAGGCATCCAGGCAGGTAAGGATAGAGATAAAAAACAAATTGGACAGGAACTGAAGCTGGGCTGGTGTGGGACAGCGCAGGGCTGGCAGTAAACCCCAAGGAGCTCCAGTATCTCACACCAGGCAGGTTAAATGCTGTCCAACCAGCCGTGTGGGCTGTCCTGGAAGATCAGACTTGGGGTCTGGTGGCCTTGGTGGAATGGAGTCAGCTGTGACTTCAGCTTTCTGGGCCTCGGTTTCCTGAGTCGGGAAGTGAACAGCGAGGCTGGCACCTCTCTCACAGGAGTGCTGAGGGAGTTAAGAGAGCAGAGATGTAATGCCCAGAGCACAGGACGTGTGGGACTCGAGCTCAGCAAGGGCTGGGCGGCTCTTCCTCCCCGCCAGCCTCACCGGTAACCGCAGCTGCTCAGGAAAAGGGAGCTTCCAAGGAGAGGTCCCCACCCCTCCCCTGACCTCCAATCCTCTTCTTCTTGGGCACAGAGCGGGTGCGGGAGGAGCTGACCAGGGAGCTGGGGGCTGGCCGTGCGCCAGGCCTGGGGGACCGAGCTCGGCTTCCGTACACGGACGCGGTTCTGCATGAGGCGCAGCGGCTGCTGGCACTGGTGCCCATGGGGATACCCCGCGCTGTCACAAAAACCACCTACTTCCGAGGGTACACCCTGCCCCAGGTAGGTCCGCGGAGCAGCCGTCCCCAGCGGTGTCTCCGCCTTGGGCCTGAGTCTGTTTCTGTGACTCTCAGACTTCTCCTAGATCTTGGTTTCTCTCTCTGCATCTTCTTTCTTCTCTCAATCTCTCCCGCTCTCCCCCCCTCTCCCCCTCTCTCTCCCTCCCTCTCCCTCCCTCTGGGCCTCAGCTTCCCCATGTGTCAATGGATATCCTAATTCTATCTTGTTCCAAGATGGTTGGGACGCAGATGAAGTGATAGGAAAGCAATTTGAGAACTGAGGGCTAACAGAGGTGTTCACCCTCAACACCTGCTGCAAACACGCGCAGTCTCTTCCCTTTCTCCCTCCCTCATCCCCGCGCCACGCACATTTTTCTCACTGCCTCAACTAGCACCACCAGGGGGCGATGTCTCCACAGAAACCTAGGGCACCATCCCACTAGTTGCTTCTTTCCTGAGCTTCATTGTAGTGTAAAAGCAAACCCATGGCAACTGGAATCCAGTCTTCTAGCTGGGACCTTGGGCAAATCACTTCCCCCTCTGAGCCTCCATCTACCCCTCTTCTAAACTGGGAAAGATAATAGTATCAATCAGAATTGTAAGGAATCCACAAGGCAATGCTTGTAAAACACCAACTCAGCTCTCAGTACTGGGGGTGTGGTACGTGGGCATAAGGCAGCAGCAGAGACACTTGCTAAGGCAGTGATTGTGCAATGACAACCACTACTGATGGTAACGACAGTAATAACAGGCACCAACGATTGAGGATCTTCTCTGTGCCAGGTGTTTAATCTTCAGAGCAATCCCATACCACTAACATGCCCATTTTACAGATGAGAAAACTGAGGCCCCGAAAGGTTAGAAGACTTGCCACGTTCACCCAGCCTACAAGAGGTTGGGACAAGATATTAACCCAAGCCTATGCTTTAACCACTGCTATCTGCCCTTCTCTTACTTTAACAGCAATAACACGACCCTGACTTTTCTGCAGTCCTCTCGCCTCCCCAGCTCAAGGCCTGCTGGCCGGAGTCCCTCGCCATGGAGGTCCCTCTCCCTCTCCTCACGCCCTACCTTCCTTCACCCTCCACCACAGCCTTGGGAACAGGATGACCCTGATGTAGACTGAAGGGGCTGCTACTCTCCCTGAATCTGGGCAGGGGGAGCTTTTGTGGACAGCCCTTGCCCACCCACTCTTGCTTTCACCTCCGGACGATCTGAGCAGCAAAAAGCTGGACTCTGGGCCGCCAGGTGACTTAAGACAGCCACAGACGAATCACAGCATACCCTCAAACCTTAAAAACGAAATGTAAAAGTAACAACCTCTGCTATGTCAAGTGTTGCCTTGGACAAGTTGCTTAAGGCCTCTGAGCCTCAGTTTTCCCATCTTTAAAATGGGGACCATATTAGTAGCTGTTTCCTAGGCTTGTGAAAATATTTAGTGAGTTTATGCATGTGTTTGAGTAAGTGGAAGACGTGTGCCTGTTAAACATGAGGTAGTACATATAAAATGCTTAATAAACTGCTTGGCCCATAATTAGCTTGTTACATGTTGATGCTGTTACAGACCCTTGTACTCTGCCCTTGGGAACCTGGGCAGTGAAGCATAATTGTAGTTCTGTTATGATTCCCCTCAGGGCACTGAGGTCTTCCCACTCCTGGGCTCTGTCCTGCATGATCCCAACGTCTTCGAGCAGCCAGAAGAGTTCAACCCAGGCCGATTTCTGGATGCAGATGGAAGGTTCAAGAAGCAAGAGGCATTCCTTCCCTTCTCCTTAGGTATCTGCTGGGCTCATCCCTACTCACCCACTGGCTGGAGTGTGAGGAGGGCTGACCCAACCCAATATCTCACCTTTCCTCCAGGTAAGCGTGTCTGCCTCGGAGAGGGCCTGGTTCGAGCGGAGCTGTTCCTCTTTGTCACCGCCATCCTGCAAGCCTTTTCCCTGCAGAGCCCATGCCCGCCAGGAGCCCTGAACCTCCAACCAGCTGTCAGTGGCCTTTTCAACATCCCCCCACCCTTCCAACTGCAAGTTCGGCCCTTCTGACCTCTACCCCACCTATCATGTGGTGTCTAACCTTTTGGCATCTCTGGACCACACTGGAAGAAGAAGAGTTGTCTTGGGCCACACATTAAACATACATTGCAACATGGAATCACACACACACACACACAAATCTCATAATGTTTTAAGTAAATTTACAATTTTGTGTTGGGCCTTAGTCATAGCCATCCTGGGCCACATACGGCCCGCGGGCCGCAGGTTGGACACCCCCGGGAGGGGCATCGGGAGGTAGTAGCTTCAACCATGGGCATGGACAGGGCTGAGTCCAGAGCCATAAGTCTATACCACAGGAAACCACATTCACACACCTGTAGTTGTTTTCTAGAGTCAGTTACACAGATGATCAGCTTATTTGCCCACAGAGCCACACTCATTGGCCCACACAGCTCTCAAGACACACAACCATGAGGCAACTCAGCCACACAAGCTTTCTACAGACATAACTCTAGTCTGTCTGGACTCGCATGCCTAGATAACTCACCAACTTGCACACAATATAACTCCCCTGGACTCACAACCCACATGTGAGAGTTCAGCTGTCACTAAAGCGTCATGGACCACACGTCCTCTTTACTCATCAAGCTTAGCAGTACCGCTGTCTCTGCGAGCCTGGTGCAAAGAGCATACACCATCCTGGGTCATGTCATCTCAGAGAAACTGTCCTCAGCCCTCAAGTGACCATACCACTGTCCAGGCACATGACCATCAGAAGCCACACTCCCCTAAGCACTGAACAATACAGCCGGTTCCCATGTGACCTTATCCTAACTCCTAAATATCTTCCCACTAAGAGAGAGCCAAAGGCTGGCCTCCTCTGCACCTTCACCCTCCAAGGACACCCCTCTCCAAGCACCCTGATCCCCAAATGCTCCCCAAAATGGATACCCCCACATTGTACAGTGTAAACACAGGCCTGGGAACCAAGTAAACTAGAACACATGGGGACCCTCAGATCAGAGGAACCCCTGCCATACACACTCCAGCCTACATAACTATATTGATAGCCTCCTCTGCCCACTCAACACACACATTGATTGACCCACTGTCCCAATTTGACTTAGCAGAAAGGGCTAGATGACCAAGTGGGGCCAGATTCCAACTCCCTGTGTCAAGAAGAGGCCAGGTCTGCGGGCCTTGGGACTTGAAGTCCCTGTTTTGCAATAAAAGTTTGTTTCTGGCCTCTGGTCCAGGCCCGTGGCAGCGCCTGATGTGTCTGTGACAGTGTCCGACATTGTGAGTAAGGGTTGGGGATGGGGGTCCACCCCTCCCTGGAGGCTGGGCGGGAGCTGAAAAACAGGGCCCCCGCCCACCCTCGCTGTGACATCAGTACCAGATGTTGGGGGAGGGCCTGTCCTGGGCTCACTTCCGGTAAGGCTGGAGGGGGCGGGGTGGCAGGGAGAAGGTAACAGCGGAACTGCTGACCTGGAGGGGGGCCCTTGGCCGGGGAAAGCCTGAAAGTGATGGATCCAAGCCCTGGAAACTCTCCGAATCTGAAAGCAGATGCTGAAACACGAATCCTAACCCTAATTCCTGCCTCTTTCACACCCTTTTCCTCCTGCCTTCTCTAAGAAAAGAAACCAGAAGCATTGTTTTATTTGTTAATTATCTAGTAAGGAGATTTTCAAACAAAAATAGACTTGTTCAATCCCCGGCCTTATTTGATAGCCATTAGTTTCCTGCTATTTTTAGTTCATCTATTTTCTTTTCTGCTAGTTCTGTTTTACCTATCACTCTTTTATAATTATTTTAAAGCAAATCCCAGGAAATAACTGAATATGCATTTCTCATAGTAAAAAGCATCCTTTCCCCCACATTTTATGACAATTTTCAAATGTGCAGCAAAGTTGAGGGAATTATTTGGGAACCTCTGTGTGCGAATGGATTCAGTTTGCTTTAGCACATTTCTATCCACCTGTCTATCCAACTCACTTTTCCAGTAGTTTCAAAGAAACTTGCAGACATCAGTTTATCTGCCCCTGAATGCTTCAGCAATGCATGCATCATTTAAGTTTTTTCTTTAATTTTCCATGATGTTATTGGTAGGGGAACTCAGGAGTTAAAGATTTCAGCTGTAGTTATAGTCGATAGGCTTAAGTGATCAATGCACGTGGAAAGCTGTAGTTCCAGGAACTGGGACACAGGACCTACATGACTCCAGGAGGTTGACGAGAAATTCAACCTTTATGCCCCAGGGGATGTGCATGTCATCAAGGTGGTACAGGAGCCATTGTGTTCCAGGGAGGGAATGCCCATGACAAAGATAAAGAATTGTTGAGCCCTGACCATGTGGCTTAGTTGATTGGGCATCTTCTCATAAAACGAAAGGTCACCAGTTCCATTCCCAGTCAGGGCACATGCTTAGGTTGCGGGTTCGATCTCCAGTTGGGGCATGTACAACCGATATAACGTGAAAGACTTAAAAATTTCAAAAAAAGAATGTGAAAAATCCTGGGACTTAAAAGGAACAAAATACAGTCTAAGTTCTTGGATTTACTATTACTGTTTTTCTTTTTTAAATATACGTCAGTGTTATGCACAAAAAAGAGGCCACATACTAAACCTGAGAAGCTCAAAGGAGGCCCACATGACAGGCCTTATAAACTCAGAAGGAAAGTAATCACATAGGTCTGCATGTGAAAATTCCTAACTAAAGGTGGGTCATGTGTATTTCACAGGGCCACAACAAATATTTCAAAAATTTATATGGAACCACAAAAGGCCCTGCATAGCAACAGCAATCCTGAAAAAGAAGAACAAAATTGGAAGAATCACTCTACCTAATATCAAACTATACTACAAGGCCAGAGTAATCAGAACAGCCTAGTACTGGTATAAAAACAGACAAAGAGCACAGTATAAAGAGCCCAGAAATAAACCCATGCCTTTATAGTCAATTAATATTCAACAGAGGAAGCAAGCACATACAACGGGCTAAGATAGTTTATTCAATAAATGGTGTTGGGAAAACTGGACAGATAAATGCAGAAAAATGAAACTAGACCACCTTCTTATACCACATACAAGAATAAATTCAAAATGGATCAAAGACCTAAATGGTAGGCCCCAAACTATAAAACTCCTAGAAGAAAACACAGGCAGCAAAATCTCAGACATCGCTCATAGCAATTTTTTATAAGATATATCTCCCCAGGCAAAGGAAACAAATGAAAAAATAAACAAATGGGATTTCATCAAACTAAAAAGGTTTTGCACAGCAAAGAAAATCATCAACAAAATAAAAAGACATCCCACAGAGCGGGAGAGCATATTTGCCAATATATCTGATAAGGGGTTAATATCCAAAATTTATAACATACTTACAAAACTCGACACCAAAAAACAAACAACCCAATTTAAAAAATGGGCAAAGGGCCTGAATAGACACTTCTCCAAAGAGGACATACAGCTGGCCAATGAAAAGATGCTCAACATCATTGATCATCAGAGAAATGCAAATAAAAACCACAATGAGATAGCATCTCACACCTGTCAAAATGGCCGTCATAAATAAATCAACAGAGAACAAGTGCTGGCGAGGATGTGGAAAAAGGGGAACCTTTGGGCACTGTTGGTGGGAATGGAGACTGGCACAGCCACTGTGGAAAGCAGTGTGGAGATACTTCAAAAAATTAAAAATGGATCTTTTGACCTAGTGATCCCACTTCTGGGAATAGATCTGAAGGAACCCAAAACACTAACTTAAAAGAACATAAGCGCCTCTATATTCAATGCAGCGTTATTTACAATCACCAAGATATAGAAGCAGCCCATGTCCATCAATAGATGAGCTGATAAAGCAACTATGGGACATTTACACAATGGAATTCTACTTGGCTGTAAAAAAGAAGAAAATTTTACCCTTTGCAACAGTACGGATGGACCTAGAGAACATTATGCTAAGTGAGATAAGCCAGTCAGAGAAAGACAAATACCATATAATTTCACTCATATGTGGGATCTAATGGACAAACTGAACTAACAAGCAAAACAGAGACAGACTCGTAGATGGAGAACAGATGACAGCTAGTGCGGGGGCGGGGGGGGGCGGGGAGGTTAGGAGGTGGAGGGATTGAGCAAAAAAGAAAAAGTGCTCACGGACAAGGACAACAGTGTGGTGATTGCTGGGGTTTGAGGGTATACAGGGACTAAATGGTAACAGAAAAAATATAATAAAGATTTTGTTTTTAAGCGGGTCATGGCAGGTCATGGCCCGTAGTCATGTCCTGGATCTGTAGTTTATTGACAAAGGTCAGTCTTTATTGTAAGTGAGCCTATCCTTTTCTTGCAACTAAGATGACATACCTTTGAAATATCAGGATAATAGCCCTTGCCAGACCCCTCAGGGCACACCCAAGGCACCAAAGACCCCTTGTTATCTTGTTCTCCGGCTTACCATCTCTCTGTGCTGTAAATGTTAACTATCCTGTAAAAGAAGTATGTGCTTCACCCAATCCAAGATTCCCTCCTGTTTCCCTCCGCCACCGGTTCCCACCCACCATCCTTGCTTTCCTTTCTCCTGGCCCCTAAATCTGCCACCAATGGATATCATGTAACTCTCCCTACATCTCCTCCTCCTCTGACTCTAAGGTATAAAATGTGCTCCAAAACTGCCATTCTTTGGAGCTTTTCTCAATCTGTTGAGATTTTGTTTCCCTGCAATTGTCATCAGTTGGCTCAAATAAACCCATCAAAATTCTCTCGTTATAAGTTTGGACGTTTCTTATGTCAACAGTGTGATGTGAAAGGGAATGACTGACTGATGTTTAAGATTTCCTTCTTTTAAAATAAGGCAATGACTTTCTTTTGCACTTAAAATTCATGTTCAGAGAAACGTGAGATCTGTGATATCAGCAAACTCATTTCTCTAAAGCAGGCTGAGCCTTGCACTGCATCAATGAGAAAGGTGGCATGTGTTAGGATGAGTTCAGTCACAAGCAAAAGAAAATATAAACTCAAATGGGATAAACAATAAAGAATTACTGGACTCCAAATTAATGTATTAGAATTAGTGTAGTGTTCAGTTTATGTGTGTGTGGTAAAATATGCATAACAATATTTATCATTTTAACCATAAGTGTACAATTCAGTGGCACTAAATACATTCATGATGTATACCTCAAATTCTCATCCACAAGAAAAGACTCGTAACTTCTTAAAACAATAACTGCCTTTTTGAAATTTGCTTTTTAAAAAGTTGCAGCCCCAATGACCATTTTCACACCTACCACAATGAACAGTTCTGCAGTGTCAGTGGTCACGTCTCCCTGACAGCCTCATAAATGTAATTTGTCATGGGGTTTGTTCAGACAAGGACCCAAAGCCTCACCACACAGTGCCTTCCTTTAAACCATCTTAGGTCTTTTTTTAAAATATTTTACTTTTTTATTTTTAGAGAGAGGGGAAGGGAGGGAGAGAGAAACATCGATGTGAAAGAGACACACTCATCAGTTGCCTCTTGCATGCCCCCAACTGGGTCCTTTGCCCTATACAATTTTTCATATCTTGGATTTGGCTGATGCCATCTTTGTGGTGCCACTTCCATTCCCAGGAATTCCCTGTAAACTAAGAATTAGATCAGATTCAGGCTCATTCTGGTAAGAGCTCCTCAGTGGAGTTGCTGGCCCATTCTTGGAGCATCACTTCACAATAAACAATGGTCTGACATAGTGCATCCAGGTTCTGATCTCTCTGGGAGAAAGTCAACCTTTCACTTAAGGGCCCTTTAAAACCAAATCAAATCAAGTTTCTCCCTGCTCAAAGCCACCCGGTAGAGAAGCCTGGTACTCTGTTGGTGGGGATATAAATGGGTACAGCCACTATAAAAAACAGCATGGAATTCTTCAAAAAAATTAAATATAGAATTACAATATTGCCCAACAATCTCACTTCTGGATATCTACCTAAAAGAAAAGAAATCAGCATCTTAAAGAGATATCTGTACCCTCATATTCATGACAGCTTTATTCACAATAGCCAAGGCATAGAAACAACCCAAGTGTCCTCAGCAGGCAAATGGATAAAGAAAATGTGATATACAGTTGACCCTTGAACAACATGGGGGTTAAATGCCCCAACCTTTGCCCA